GTGAAACGGTGTCTTCATCGTCTCCCATTTTTAATAAAAAGAAATCTAAAGCGTATCAACATTTTACCCAAGTTTCGTACAAAGCCTTTTAAATAACAATTTGTTTTCTAAAATTTTTTTTAACATTTGTAAGTTTTCTTTATCAAATCTTAATATTATAAATATATTGTGTTTAAAAACATATTTTAAGGAGAATTAAATCGGTGCCGGACAGTTATGATATGTCCCTTGTAAGTTTTTATTTTGAATTAGTGTGAGAAATTACCCGTTAAAATCTTTTAGATCACTCAACTACTACCCAATACAATATAAGAAAAAGATAATTTTTAATATAGTCAGATTTTTTTAAATATAATCAGCTTGATTGTTTACGCCACATACTAGCACATAGTTAGCCGTAAGTAACATATACCTGACGGAAGAGTACCCTATTTAATCCATCGCGCATAATTTAAATATTTGTCTTTATGCTATTTAGCAAACAGTCGAGACAGATCAGCTAGTCGGTTAACACGTATTTTGACAACCGACTTAATTTTGGTGAACGAACTTATAAACAGTGAGATTGTTCAAAAATATATTTGATTGTGACTTTTCCACAAAGAACGGTTGATTATTTTAATATACCCACCTACAATTGTTTAATTGGTTGAATCCTGACTCCTTTCTGTCATATTTTCCCCACACTAATTAAATAATTGTTACAATTGTAGCATTTCTTATTTAATTCTTACCTATTAAGAGTAAGTTCTTGTCTCTTCTCTGTTATCAAGTCAGAAAATATCCGTACAAGGTCGAGAAACGAGGCAGCTGTGACATAAATCTTCCTACTTGTAAGCTCGTAAAATTTTTCGCTCGAATCTTTGGTACAAACATGGAAAAACTTACAGGCAGTTATCGACTCAAGTTTGATGTTTTCAGTAAGTTCAACATCGGCAATGATGCGTTGTGCCACCTTTTTATCAATGTAATATTAGAAGTTTAAATAATTATCGCAGTTGAATGTTGATATATGTATATTATCAGGTATATACAAGACGTCTGCTACTCAATGGTAAAGCGCTCGTGGGTGGGTAGAGTGGGCTAAATTGAATCAAAAGTCCCCTACTCATTTTGCGATTTTCGCAATAGTTATCGAGATATTAATCATTTTAAAAAAATTGCGCCAAATATATAAAAAAAGTATTGTACATTACATCTTTTCTAAATCAAAAATATTATTTTAACAAATAAAAGTTGTCCAAAAACAAATATGAGATTAAGTATTTGATTAGACATAAAGACAAAAATATTTATTCCAAAAATAATTTTTTAATAAACTGTTTAAACCATCCAAATAAATATGCAGCAAAAGTTTAATGCCATTGCCATTCTAAATAATTTTAAGATATAATACATAAAACAGGCTTAAAGTGACTAAAATGACCAATTATTTAGGAAAGACGTAATGTACGATAATTATTTCTATATTTGGCGTAAATTTTTTTTAAATGCTTAGTATCTCGATATATAAATATTGTGAAGATTACAAAATGATAGAGGACTTTTCGATTCAGTTTAGCCCACTCTACCTATCCACAAGCGCTTTACCATTGAGTAGCGGACATCCTGTATATATAGGATGTCCTAAAAAAGTCATATATCAGTAGAGTATATAGGCCGGTTCTAGACCAAATGGGGGCGAGGGGGTTGCGGGGCAGGAGGGGGTCCTGCGAGGAGGGAGAGCTGAAGGGAGGGATGATGTCACAGGAGAGAGGATAACGTCACAGAGGAGGGGATTAATTAATTTTTTACTTTTAATTAATTGTATAATTAAATGTTATTGATTAAATATTATTTTATTATATAATTAAACGGTAATTAAATTTTTATTGCTAAATCTTTTAAGACATTTTCTGTCTCTCTTTCACCATGCGCTTTTCGCCATACGTCTTCTCTCTCCCTTTCACGTGCTTCTCACCTTATGCCTTCTCTCTTTCTCCCATGCGTTTTACCCACGTTGGACCCTGTTCAAGCACGCATTTCTCTTTTCCTCTCCCACGCGTAGACTCTGTTTTCGTTCTCCCTTTCATTCTCGCACCCGTTGGACCCCGCTCAGACGCGCGTTTGTTTCCCTTAATGTTTGTTTTTGCGTTTCTTTTTGGTTTGCATGTGCAGGATGTTGGAAAGAGGCGGAAATGGTACAAAAATATTACACAATATATATAGGGTGCCCATTTTCCCATCGATCACCTCAAATATCTCTTGAACAGTGTATTTTAGGGAAAAATGTTTCAGACAAAAGTTTTGGGACTTTGAGGGGGGCATAAGAACATTGGTTTGACCCTGAGTAACGTCGTCAAGGTCAGGACAAGGTCGCTTGGAATTTTTTAATTGGAACCTCCCATTTTCATTACATATTCTTGTAGCACATCTCGAGAGCTTTCCAAAATACATAGATAAAATATTTTTTGATTAAATAAATCTTGAATTATGAAGCTTGAAAATTGCAGTACCATCGGTATTAGCATTATCCAAGGTGTCCAAACACTGGCTTAAACTATTGAATGTTGTTCAGGATCATGACCTAGACAACATATGTCAAGATCAAGGCCATTAAAGGTTATTGTTTTTATTTTCAATTTTGGAAATTATATTTATTTTTTAAAAAAAGAGAAACAATTTCCAATGGTCATGACATTAATAAAACATATAAAGGTCATGACCATTGGAAATTGTTTCTCTTTTTTTAAAAAATAAATATAATTTTTAAAATTGAAAATAAAAGTAATAACCTTTAATGACCTTGATCTTGACATGTATTGTCTAGGTCATGAACAACATTCAAAAGTTTTAGCCAGTGTTCGGATACCTTGGATAATGTTAATGCCGATGGTACTGCAATTTTCAAGCTTCATAACTCAAGATTTATTTAATCAAAAAATATTTTATCTATGTGTTTTGGAAAGTTCTCGAGATGTGCTACAAGAATATGTAGTGAAAATGGGGGGTTCCAATTAAAAAATTCCAAGTGACCTTGTCCTGACCTTGACGACGTTACTCAGGGTCAAACCAATGTTATCCTCTTATGTCTCCCTTGAAGTCCCAAAACTTTTGTCTGAAACATTTTTCCCTAAAATGCACTGTTCAAGAGATATTTGAGGTGATCGATTAAAATGGGCATTAAAATGGCACCTTATATATATTTTGTAATATTTTTGTACCATTTCCGTCTCTTTCCAACATTCTGCGCATGCGAGCGAAAAAAACGCAACAACAAACTATTTATATCCTTTCACTGACAGATTCTAGGGAGCATTCCAAGACGAAAACTGTTGTATTAAAATATCTAGACTAATACTTTCAAATTATAAAAGTTATTCTTACAATTAAAGTTATTCTTCACAACTTATTATTTCAAAACTTGAGTCTTAAAATAATAAGTTGCAAAACTTTTTTAAAATGATAAAGATACTTCTTGTTTTTACATTAAAGTTCTTAGACATTTAAAATCGTGAGCCTTAAATAATAAAAAATAAATAAATAAATGTAAAAAATAAAACAAACTGTTAATCATTTAAATAACGCAAAATTGGCGTACACTGAGTGCAATTGTATTGTTTCACTGTTAAAATCACATATTTAATAATAAACATGATGTTTCACAAAACCTGCATCATTATTGCATCAGTGCAATTTTCATCGAAACATTACACAACGCTAATGTACTGCACTAGTTTTCCCAATAGAAAACGCTGTTAGTTTAACAACCGGTTTTGATAAAGTTAAATAAATAATGTATTTATTTTGTTATTATTTCTTACGCTTATTAACTTTTATTAACACATTTTCATGTCGCGCCAGTTTCATTACTTGTCATCGGTGAGCCACGCGGTATGGGATATGTTAGAAATCAATAAAAATAAGCAATAGAAATCAATAAAAATAGATAATAATAGGTGTTAAAATGGACAAAAGATATAACTGTGTATATGTATTAATTGTAATATGTAATAAGTTGTGCATTATATCTGATTATTTTTATCAAATTTATTTTTAAAACATAAACGAATATGAGACATTTAAAATTTGCACATTTAGCTCTCTATTTCTTTATCCAATATTTAAAAATAGAAAAATATCTTATTTCGAAAAGAATGGTACGCCTAATTCTATGAATTTCGAAAATTTTTTTCGACCTAATTCATAAAATTAATACCATTTCTTTTATCTTATTTTTATTCATTGATATTCTGTAATATTATACTGAAAATTACAAATAAATGAGACGAAGCTTAAAAACGATTTTTTTGCCATTGTATGAAAAATTGAGACGCTTACCGCAAACGTAACCTAACTGCCAAAATTCGGTTTTCAAACTTAAAGCGTTATTAACTTATAAAACCATTAATGCTTTAAAATAAGAAACTCAATTTCGGCAATTAGACACTTTTGCAATAAGCGCATCAATTATGTCAATATTTAAAAAGTGAGTAAATGGAAAAGGGCACTTCGCATCGCGCGCGCGATGTACCATGCCTGAGTGCGCGAATTTTAGACGCCACAATTGGATAACTTAATTCGTTTATAGGTAATTTGAAAAGTATTATAGCCTTGTTATTTTCATATAAGAGTTTTCGTCTTGGAATGCTCCCCAGAATCTGCAGTGAAAGGACATACGAATTTTTTGGGAATCCTGTATAGTGATTTAAAATAAGTTATAACCGTGCTACCTGTTCGAGTGCATTTTCTGGCCATTCGCTGAACCAATCAATGGTGCAGCAATTCACCAGGCTTGGATGCATTCGTAAACGGTTCCTAAAGTTTTTGCCAATTGGATTTAGACCTATCATTATGTGAAGTTTCTCACGACACTGGTTAACGAAATATGTCAGCACAGTCAACACAGAAATATCAAGACTTCTATCTCCACGTTGAGCAGCCAATCGTGTCATTTCGATAATTTCTTGTCGTTCTTCAATCGTGAAAAGATTTGGGACTTCTCCATCATTGAGTAAGCTACTGATATCATTTAAAAAAGCCTCGTCTCGAATGTCCTCTTCACTTAAGAGAAATACAAGGTTTTTTCCGATTCCGCCAGAATTTCTATACAAAAAAATAATTGAAATAAGTAATAGTAATAAATAAAATAAATTAAGATGTTATTATACACAATTGAACAAAGTAATAAGATATTTAAAGTTATAATTGACCTTATAATTAAATAACTTTTAGTAAACTTAAAATAATGATCTCTTATATTGATAACCCTGCAATTTGTTACCGATCATGTTTGACCCTAATACTTCCTCAACTCCAACTTCAACTGATCGCTTTGTGTTTTTTAAATTTGAGGATACTAAACTGAAGACTGAACTCTGATAGAATTGTCCGTTTTATTAAAAGTGACTTATACGTACAATTTATGAAACATTAACATGTCGATCATTACATTAATATTGTATACACACATACGCACAAATTTTTGTAAAGGCCTTTTATATCAATGTCTGAAAATATGTTTAATTCTAGAAATTCAATGTTGTTTTTTTGTAAAATCTATTTTGTACGTACATATTACAGAATTTTTGAATCAAGCAAATGTTTTCACAACTTGGTAGCATTAGACATTACACCGACGAGATACTGATAAAGATCGTCGCCCTGGGCAAATTTTCGTGCCAGTCGAAGGACCCGGAGGACCTGGAGGTAATTGCAGAACGTCGATGTTATCAAATTTTGACAAAAATTTTGGGATATATTTAAATAATACATTATTAAAATCATTATTTTCATTATATAAATGCTTTATAAATAAGTATGAATACTTATAATGCTATAATATTATATATATTACCGCAAAATTACATTCTTTTTTCAACTGTTTTACCATCTCTCTAGATAATCAAACACGGATGGTAACTATAAAAATGCAGTTTTAAATAAAATTAACTATTAGCAAGATATAATACAGATGAAACACAATGTACACGTCTAAAAAAAACATTGATTTAATAATAAATCATAAAATTAATATTAT